CGATGAATTGCTGCCTAAGGAGGCACAACAGTTGGAGCTCTAAGCCACTCAACTCCTAGCTGTGAGGATGATGGGGGAGAGGAAGGAAGTGACAGTAATGGGAACAGAGAGGAAAGGCAGAAGTGGAGGCAGGATTGTTTCCAGCCTTCAGGATTCCAGGTCCTCTCCCTGGCTCACTGCATCTGGTCATCCATCCTTACTGATGCATTCAAACAAAACAATATTCAATTTTTAGAAACAATATGTCAAGAGTATAAAGTAACACTTTTTTTTTCCAAAGGAGAAAATAATGTGATTTGCTGAGAAGAAACTTTTAGCATGTTAGTTTTCATATAATTTTGTCAAAAGTCTCACTAACTCTTACTTGATATAAGATATGTAAAACAAATATTTCCAGGGAAGCTGAGTAGATAAATGAACTGAACTAAAACATTCATATTACAAATTTTTTTGGAGGGGCTGGGAAATCAAATGTATTTGGATATGCTGAAAGGCAACTGAAAGAGTGATAGAAGGCAAGAGAAAAAGTAAGAGAAAAAGAACAAGAGCAGGATGAGGCAGTAATGGCTTGGGTCTAACAGTGAGAACACACCTCTGCCTTTTTTCTGCCAATGAACAGAACCGGGGGCAACATATGTTTTTTCTCTGAATTCCCCTGGCAGAAGAAGAATATTTACAGTTTGGCTTTGGCTTTTAATAAATGAAAAAAAAGTAACTCAGTACAGGGCCAAGTGTCAGTGCTTTAAGGGAGGCACTGATAGACTTTTTTTTTGAGACCGAGTCTTGCTCTGTTGCCCAGGCTGGAGTGCAGTGGCATGATCTTGACTCACTGCAAGTTCCACCTCCAGGGTTCATGCCATTCTCCTGCCTCAGCCTCCCGAGTAGCTGGGACTACAGGCACCTGCCACCACGCCCGGCTAATTTTTTGTATTTTTAGTAGAGACGGGGTTTCACCGTGTTAGCCAGGATGGTCTCGATCTACTGACCTCGTGATTCGTCTGCCTCAGCCTCCCAAAGTGCTGGGATTACAGGCGTGAGCCACACTGATAGACTCTTATCACTGCTTCCAGCTGTGAAATTGATTGACGGCCTTAAGGCCTCCAAGGAGTATATGCTGTCAGCTATCCTAACTATTTGCAAAAGAAAGCAAAGGTGGTGGATGTGAAAATTTTGCAAGGAAAACTCCTTAAATTTTTTGAAGATAAAAATGACAAACATCCTGTAGGCCAGGTGCAGTGGCTCACGCATGTAATCCTAGCACTTTGGGAGGCCGAGGCAGGTGGATCACCTGAGGTCAGGAGTTCGGGACCAGCCTAATCAACATGGAGAAACCCTGTCTCTACTAAAAATACAAAATTAGCCAGGCCTGTAATCCCAGCTACTTGGGAGACTGAGGCAGGAGAATCACTTGAACCCAGGAGGCAGAGGTTGCAGTGAGCTGAGATTGCACCATTGGACTCCAGCCTGGGCAACAAGAGTAAAACATCATCTAAAAAAAAAAAAAAAGACTAAGATACTAAGAAAACTTCAGTTCTATAAGGCTGATGAAACAAATAACAACATTTGGCTAATTTTCCCCTGAAGGACTCTAGGATGGTTTTGTAAACATCTTGGGCCATGAACAGACGTAACCCTTGCTACCAAAAATGCAAATGGCTATCCAAATGTATAGACACACATTAATGGTACGGAAAATCCTGTTTCACTCAGATATAAACTAAGTGTGAGACCAATCTTAATGTGTATTAGATTACATTTATTAAAAAGTTTTGGAAGTTGGGTATGAAAGTAAGAATAAAGTCAATGAAAATAAGAGAAAAGCCTGACCAGCCTGGGAAACATAACGAGATTCCATCTCTACAAAAAATTTAAAAAATTAGCTGCACATGGTGGGATGCACGTGTAGTCCCAGCTACTCAAGAGGCTGAGGTGGGAGGATTGCTTGAGGCCAGGCGTTTGAGGCTGCAGTGAGCTGTGATCTGCCGCTACACTCAAGCCTGGGCAGCAGAGTAAGACGTCTCAAAACCAAAACCAAAAACAAAGAAAAAAACCCAACAAAAGAGGAAAACTTGTAAGAAAGACAAAGACTCAAGAAACAACCTCCAAAAGAAATAAGTTAAATTATTTTAAACAGTCCTTTAAATCTGGATCAGGCCATTCGTTCGGGAGCTCTCCATGTAGAAGTTGGAAGTGGTCGAATTCTTTCTTGGGCGTTATGATGTCTTTAAAGGGACCACAGTCTCTCTCAGAAATAGAGGAAAGAAAATGAGCCCTCTGCCCTCCTAGAGGAACACAAACACGGGTTTTTCTTCTATTCCCTTCTCATACTGTCCAGCAAAAGAAATTATTTTAGATTTCTTTTGTAAGTTTATTGTTGTGCAAAGAAATCAACTCAAGCAAAAACAAAAACAAAAAAACACCCACAAAAAACCAGGCTTCTATCAAAAGAATGCATGATGAGTTAATCTACAAAACAGACAACTAGGAAATGAATGGCTTACTCAAGTTTCAAAAAACAAAGATTATTTAAGGGACTACTTTAAGAATAGAAGAACAAGTGAATAAAATAACCTACAGACAATGAAGTGGTTTATGCCCAAAATATCACATAATTATCATTACTATATTAACCTTTCCTTTTCAAAACTATGTACTTTAATTTAGTAGATGACATCTCCTGAACACATCCAGTGACCCTACAAGTTGCTTAGACAGAATGAGATTCTCTATTCATTCATTAAAATTTACCAAATGCTGTATGTATCAGTCACCAAGCTAAGAATGCAGGATACAAAGCTGCCTAAGATATAGGTGGATCCTTCCCTCATAATGCTTATTCTGAGAAGGGTAACAAATGTGAACAAAAAGCTATGACAATGGGACCAGAACTACAAGAGATATATGCACAAAATACTACGGGAAGAATAAGTTATTCCCATGAGGGTCAAAAAGGCTTCAAAAAGAGCTGATATCTTAGTTGCCTTAAATGGAAAAGAAAAAAAAGGCACTTCAAGCAATGCAAGTATTTATGCAAAAATATAAGAAATGAAAAATATGTTTATTGAAGAATAACAGTAGTCTGGTTCACACTACACAGTGCAAAGATGTGTGTTACACAAGGTTATAAGCTAAAAAGAGTAACTTAGTTTATGTAAATCAGTTCTGAATAAGAGACAGAAACTCAGCCGGGTGTGGTGGTGCACGCCTGTAGTCCCAGCTATTCAGGAGACTGAAGTGGGAGGACTACTTGAGCCCAGGAGTTCCAGGCTGCAGCGAGCTATGATTGCGCCACTGCACTACAGCCTGGGTGACAGACACCCTGTCTCAAAAACAAGAAGAGAGAAACTCTTTTAATACAGAAGTAGAATATACTTCATTTTGGTTGGAGATTATTAATTTTAAATTTCTAGGAAAAAAGGGACTTTGTGTATTTTATTTTCCTCTTTTCCACACAGTTTTGAGATGTTGCCTGAGAGAATGCAAATCAAAAGTTTTGAGATGCTTTAGGCTCACATGGGAAATCCCTAAGAAATAGTAAAAGTGTGAATCTTCACTGAGGAAGAAGAGGCAAAAAAGCACAAGAACCAAGAGTTGAGTGGACAATTCAAGGACAGGACAAGACAGACATGTAGGGTTATCATTTAGGGGACAACTGTGACACATAGGAAGATCAGGAAACCCAGGTCCCACAGCAGCCTTCAGTAACTTGCTTGGTCTAGGGAATCCAGTCTGTGAGACTGGATGTTCTCTAAGGTTCCTTCTTTCAATGGCTACTACACATGACAAGTGAGAAACTAAGACTGAGTGACTGAAGAAAAATAGGCTACAGGTATATGATGATTTATATCTCATTTACTGGTTTAGAGAATATGGTCTTTGACACAACAGACCTTTCAGGTTTTCTTAACTGGGGTTCTGTGAAGAATTATCTCCTAATGCCCTAAAGCAGTGGTTCTCAAAGTGTGATCCGAGGATTCTGGGAATTCCTCAGACTCTTTAAGGGTCCATGTGGTCCTCCATTTCCCAACTGACTATTTGTGTGAGGCTGGATTTTCTTAACATACTTCAATTAAACAACATATGTAAGGCTCAGTGCAGAAGCAGATATGAGAATCCAGTGTCTTCTATTAGGCAGACAGATATCACTAGTCTCACTAGAAAAATGTAGTTGTTTGTTTTGGAAAATATAGTTTCCATTACAATTGTATTATTTACCCTAACAAGTGATTTATTAATTTAAAATGAATTAATGATTGAATATTTGATACGTTTCCCATTTTCAATTTCTAATATGGTAAATACTAATACCTTTAAGCCATATAAGCTAGAGCTCTTTGGGGGTCTTCATTAATTTTTAAAAGTATAAAGCAGTTCTGAAACAAAATGGTTTGAAAATTGCTACTTTAAGCCACCCAATGTATATATACAGTCACTTCACTTTTATGCATCTAAAATGGGAGAATAGAGAAAACAGTCACTCAAATCATTTTCTGGATATTATGGTTCAGATGAGGAATCACGATTAAAAACAATATTGTATGGCATATAATAGGTACTCAATGAACAAGGGTATGACAGAATTAGGATAATGGATTAAGAGCAACATGACTTCAAGTTGTTAGGACCAAAATATTTAAAATAATAAGCTTGAAGAATAAGTTATTGTATAATATTGATATTGTTATTTTACTTCCTACGTGTACTTGAGACGCGCTGATTGTTTTTCTTAAAAATACAGTTTCTAAAGCATTTCAATTTAGACCACATAACATGAGCATTCACTCAGATATGCTCACTAACACCAACACCCGGGGCCCATCTATTGAAAACAGCGCATAAGAAAAACCAATCTACTCCAGCACCACATTTCACCTCAAGGCTGCAGGAAGTTAGTGTCTAACAAACCATAACAGGCATATAATAACATTAAAACAAATGTACAATGTACTTTCATAAAGCAACTTTACTGAGATCACACAGTGCATTTTTCCTATACTTACCGTATCCCATATCTGAAGTTTTATCTGTTTCCCGTCAATAGTTATCATTCGAGCACCGAACTCTACACCTAAATGGAGTACAAAATGATTTGTTACAAAATTAGTGGGAATATATCTCACTTTTGAGGATTCAAAACAGAATGTTTACTTCCAAGACATGCTATGCTAGGTAATATACAGATAGACTTTAACAAAGCTCCTATACTTAGAAAATATATAAGCTAAGGAAGAGGTGCTAATAAGACATAAGCTAAGGACATAATTAAAATACTAAGATACTGAAATGTGGCAGAGTCAATATTAAGAAACCAACTGTGATCTTCATGTTTTGCAGGCTCAGTAACATAAAAATTAAAAAAGAGATCATCCAAGAGCCATAATTATTAATCACAAACGTTAAATATTAAAATTTCTTAAAAATTACATTAATATGGTATAAAAATCACCAAAAAGGGACAGATACATTTCAATATCATAGTATTGGTTCCAAGCATGAGTAATTAGCAAGGAAAGAAATCTCCAAATCTGCCATTAGCTATAACCAACGTTTTAACATACTTCCCAGACAGTGCTCCATGAATACACATGCAGAAATAAGTATATAATTCTGCATAAATGGGAACATAAAAATTCTGCTCTACAATTTGCTTTTTATTTATTTAATAATACATCACAGACATTATTCTGTATCACAAACATCCTTGCAAATCAATAAACATAAAACTATGCCATTATTTTTGATGTCTGCATAATATTCTTTTGTGTACAGATAATTTACTAACTTGATACTTTATTGCTACAGATTTAGGTTGTTCTCCTATTTTCACTAAATAATGAATGCTAAAATGAACTTTCTGCATACATTTTTCAACTTACTATAATTTTAGGCAAATTATAAGAAATCGGATTACAGGTCAGAAGGAACACAGACTTCACACCCACAAGTTTACTACTTTGGCTTTTAACTTGCATTTATCATCTTTGGAAAGTACTCATTCAGTCATCAAAATAGTAGAAAAATAGGGGATAATTTTAGAAGGGCAAACAGTTGTGAAGACAACTCTGAAAGTAGTATATCTCTTATACCAAATCACTACTACCTAGAGTATGTTCAATCAGTATTTAGATCAGAGTCAGGGTGAAGGGAGGACACACATGGTACCCAGAAACCAAATGTTATCCTGGTAGAAAAACAACTTCTAGTTTCCCAGAGAAGAACACACTGCCCAATGTCGGAATTCCAATTTAGCATCTCCCATAACTCCCCAACTGTGATTAGAAGGGTGAGAAACAAAGGGAATTTGTCCCATGACATAAAACCTGATGAGCTTTTACTCTACATTATAATAGTTATTCCATCCCACAGGCCTGATGAATACCAAGAAACTAAAAATGATGTTTATGTTTCTCAGGCCCAGAAATACAAGAAAGCCAGAGAAAAGAGATTCAGGGGTCATGATGTATCAGACCGAAAAATGAAAAATTGACAAATTATGCCACATAAAACCATTACAGTTTTTACATATATATGCACCTACATATGCATATAGATTCATGACATATCTATGTGAATATATATATTCTTATCTGTTCTATGCCACAGGGTGGAGTCATACACAAAACCCATTAATGACATGAAAAATGAAATTAGTTGGGGGAAGAAACCAGTTACTAAGTAAGATACAGATGTTCTTTGAAATACTCCGTATTGAAAATGAATATATTGAAGCACAAAATTCTGCATGTCAGCAAGATATCAGACAGAGTAGAGGCTTTTTCATGAATCTATTGTTTCTACGTACAAATGAGACAGAGAGAGAGAAAAATTTATTTTTATTTTTCCTTCCACTGTCAGGGATGGGCTGGCTTTTAAGCACAATCCAAAACTATCTACATTGCTCATAATGTCAAATTTAACAAAAAACAACTACAGACTAGAAACAGACCAACCCATGAATGCTCCTGGTACCAAGGGTGAGCAGGTAAGGCAGGCAAGGCTAGCAAAAGCAAGCAGATGCTCCCTCTCTGGAGCTGGTATCTTGAGCAGAGGGCTAAAGATATGGAAACTGACTTCTGATCATTCCATCCGAGCAGATGAGAAGCTAACACAACTGCTCCTGCTGCAGGAGAGCTATTAACAGTTTCTGCTTCCTGACCTCCAAGATGCTTTGTTCCTGCCCAATTCCAAGACAAAGTTTCCAACTTACTGGAGGTTCCATATATAACTACAGATATTCTAGAATATTTCCTTTGCTTACCCTAGCTAGAATTGGGTTTTAGTATGTTCGTCTCTTTACTCAAATTAAGCAGATCACCTGGACCCAGTGGCTCAGTATGGCCTGTAATCCCACACTTTGAGAGGCTGAGACAGGAGGATTGCTTGAGCCCAGGAATTGGAGACTAGCCTGGGCAACACAGGGAGACCCAGTCTCCATGAAAAATTAAAAAATGAGCCAGGTATGGTGGCATGTGCCTGTGGTCCCAGCTACTTGGGAGGCTGAAGCGGGGAAGGATCACTTGAGCCTAGGAACTCCAGGTTGCAGTGAGCCATGATTGTGCCACTGCTTTCCAGCCTGGGCAACACAGTGAGACTTTGTCTCAAAAAACAAAAACAAAAACAAAAACAATTAATAAAGTAAGCAGGAAGAAGTCATGAAGCTTAAAATCTTTAAACAATGATTTTGCCTCCAAAAATACATCCAATTTTAAATAAACCTGTTAAGTGAACATCAAGAATGTTTTTAAACCAGGGATATGTCATAATACAATAGACATTTTAACTTCACTTATCAACCAGGTCAGGATGGATAAAGAAAAACAAAACAACAACAACAACAAAACACAAGAAGCAAAGAGACCAGTTAAAAGGCTATTGTATTATATTTAGGCATGAGGTTAAAAAATGGTGGTGGGAAAAAAATACACATCTCAAAAAGAAAAACTGACAACTGTTGTTGATTACTGAAAAACTATGATTTCTGTTTTCCTATCAAATGAAGCAAAAACACACTTTAATTTCAGCTTCAGAAATATAGCTCTTTCCCATTTACCTTCCCATAACTGGGTTCAATGTAGGTTTTACCCTTTAATTCTATGTGACAAATGAAAACACTGAATCCTAGTCTCTTGGAAGCCTCAGAAACAAATACAGAAACCAAAAACTTGACTTCTTTTCTGGAATATTAACATTTTTAAATCCTTTTCCTTGGATGTATACATGCTTGAGAATTCCATTTAGAAAGGTTTCCTTCTCTTTTTTTTATGTGATAAATTGTTATTCTCTATGCCTTTGAGGCCCTCTTCCCAGATCCATTTTCAATTAACAGCCAATTTGGCTGCTAGATAAATTTCTGTGAAGTCAAAGTCAAGACCTCATTTACCTGACATTGTCAGGGTGTAATGCTTATTTTCTCAGATACGTTATTCACTTACAAGCTTCCAGAATCAAATACTCTGAATAGGTACACTTTTTAATTGTCTCCAATCATTATCATCCTTGCATCATTTACTGAGCATTCATAATCAATATCTACTAGGTTGTGTGACCCTGGGCAAGTTATTAAGCCCCTTCTTTGTCTTAGTTTTCTAATCTGTAAAATGGTATTCATAATACCTACCTCATGAGTTTTTTTAAGATTAAAAGATGATTACATATGAAATAGAACAGTGTCTGGCACATAGTATTTAATATGTCAGGTATAATTATTATTATTCCATATTATGCACTAGAATGTCTAAACTACCATCCACATGACTAATGATGACAGCCCCTGTGAGAAAGGGCCATCTGTCAGAGACAGGTAGTCACTGGTACAGATATGTGCAGAGGCAGAATGTGGCTCCTTACCTAGGTAAGGCTGGGGCGTGCCCATTCAGGCCTCCTTGTAATGTCAAGGCCAGAACTTCCAGGCTGCTGGGGTACTAGGTGGGGTGCTAAGCAGAGAGCACAGCTAGGTATAGAGCAAACAGCCTTCCTTACCAGCATGGTAACATATGGACTCCTATCCCCTATTCCTGTTCCTGAAACCTAGACACTGCAGAAGTTGAAAATGGAAGACTTGTGGGAAGACTTGTTCAAAATGAGACTTGGGGCCTGATTTTTCCTAATTCTAGAAACAAAGGAAAACTAGATACAAAAAGCAATGTCCTCAATTTTCTATGTAAAACAAAACAGCAAACACCACACTTAATGGCAAAACCCTAGAATAATTCAAATTATACTGAGAAAAATATTACAGTTATTTTCAATTTGGAAATTATTCCAGAGACTTTGGTCAAAAATTAGAGTAACAAAATTAAGAGAAACAGATTTTGGCTTAGGAAAAAATCATAACTTACAGATAGGACTAAACAGTCTACCTAGAACATGCAAAATAATTTAACAACAGTGATGAAAAAATTTACTTACAATAGCAACAAATCTACAAAATCTCAAAACAAACTTAGAAAAGCATAAGGCCTATATGAACAAAACTGTAAAATTTTACTGAACAACATTTAAGAAAGTCTGAATAAATGAAAATATATATTATGTGTATAAACAGGTAATCAATGCTGTAAAAACATAAATTATCTCCAAATTAGCTCATAAATTGAACAAAATTCTTTTCAAATTTAAAAGCCTCACTAAAAGTCTTGCAACTTGGCAAAGTTCCATCTGGAAGAACAAATGCACAAGAATAATCAAGAAAACCTAGAAAGGAAAGAAAGAACACCAACTGGCATGAAGTACACTACAAAGTTACAACAACTACCACAGTATGATATTGCCTCATGAAATAGAAAAAAAGACGTGGGAGGCCAAGGCAGGTGGATCACAAGGTCGCGAGATCGAGACCATCCTGGCCAACATGGTGAAACCCCGCCTCTACTAAAATTACAAAAATTAGTTGGGTGTGGTGGCACGTGCCTGTAATTCCAGCTACTCGGGAGGCTGAGGCATGAGAATTACTTGAATCCAAGAGGTGGAGGTTGCAGTGAGCAGAGATCGCACCACTGCACTCCAGCCTGGCAACTAAATGAGACTCTGTCTCAAAAAAAAAAAAAAAAGAAAAGAAAGATGAACAAA